ACATTACACCGACGGCATAAAGAAATTACTCACCATTTGATGCCCGAATTTATTGCGTTAGGTTGTCAAGGGAGTGGCCCCCGCAAAAAGGGATGGCGGGTAGATAACGAGATTCAAATCGAATGCTGATTAATGCGCCATGCAAATTGAAACTGAAGTGGTATCGTCTTTCACGGCCACTGAGGCTTGTTAATGCGCCCTGTCAAATGGCTGACAATTTGCCACATTTCGCTTCAGCATCATTTTGTGGCAAATTATCGCAATGAATATGTTGGAACTAGATGGGTGAATGTGAATCCTTTCCAAAGGGCGCGGCATCTAATTTCCCATTTAACTATATGTCTAGCTAATGCTTGATTAAATAAGTACGTCGTTTAGCCAAATAGCTACCATAATCGACTGACAATTGAAGACATTTTTCGAAAAATATATTTTGCTTTTGTGAAAAATAAAAAAAAAATCGAGAAAACTCCGCTAAAATAAAAATTAATTATTTTGATCACTAAAAAAGTAGTCAACTTCAAATCCTGAAAATATTTATAAATATTTGTTTAGTTTAAGAATTCTATTTTTACTAAATAAATATTATAGTTAGATTAATTACCCCGATATTAAATACCACCAATAAGCAAAAAACCATTTCATTTTTCTCCTTCTCTTTTCCTTTTAATCAGCCCTGTAAGTACGCAATGAAACTCTTAAATGTTGATTAGAGCCTTCACTTGGGTCACTCAATTCGTGATAAGATGGTCGGCCAGGGCATTAATACTTTTGATTTAATAATTACGCAGCGCATAAATTAATCTGCGAGAGGTCGCGCCCGGACATAAACAACCCGGTAAGCCGAAGGATCCAAAGGGATACCAATCTCATCCTCGGACCCAAGGCATGAATAAATTCCTTGGGCCGCGCACAGTTCGCCTTCGGTTATCAGTCAAGTCGAGTCGTAAAAGCCGCACACCACAGCCTCAGACTCTCGAAACCCAGAAAGCTTGTAATCTTAATTATATATTACAAAGTGTTGGGGTTTTCCAAGGGGCGGTGTGGTGGCCCAGTGCCAAGTCGGCTCGGTCTCACCCGTTTTGTCGTGAAAAATAAGCAGGAAATGAATGAATTTTTCAGTGGCATAATCCCAAAATGTGCCAATGTGTTGCCACACCCACTCGCCGACTCCCGTCCCCCGGCCCCCTTTAAACCGCAATCCAGCAGGCCATCTTGGAAGCTAAAGAGGCACCCCCACCCCATTCTCAACTCACTTCCTCGCAACCTCAACTCCTCCCTAGCACTTGTCATAAAATATTGTCTGGTTGGGAAAAGAAAAACTTTTCAATGCCCTGCCCCAAGACGACAAAACGTAACCACACTGAAAAATAAGAAAACATACAATTTTATTTTTTGTAACATGTTCTTGTTGCAGAGAAACTATGAAAGAGCTGAAAGAAGCTTTATGATCCTTTTCTAAAATGCTTTAACTTATCCCAGTGATTGAAATATAATACACCCAAATAAGACTTAATTTGAATTTATAGTCAGCATCCTATAATAAGGCCAGTTTAAATTTCGAATGTGACTTTCTTCCTCCCACTCATGTAACTTTAGGCGCTATCCCGATAATATTTCAAATTAAGAGAATTAGTTATTCTCGCTCTTTTTGAAAGTCAAAGAATTTCCAGAAGAGAGAAATAGGTATTGCTTGTTAAAAACGATATGCGCATAAATACCTGACATTTACCATGCGCATAGCGATTTGATAACGTCGTGTAAATATTTTAAAATGTTGAAAATTTTATTGATGCGAAAAATATATAATTATGGTGTCTATGATGGCCCATGACCAATTTCTGTTGAATTTTCCTCTGTGTACCCCCTTTCTAAATCACCCGCTGCGTACCAACCCCACGCAGTAAAGCACCCCCTCTTCTAGTGCCAGACATTGAAGTGTATAAGAATAAGTGTTGGGATTAGGCGCTTGACTTGAAAATTTTATAAAACAAAATTTTTGCATAAGCTCTGCTGGGGCTGCCTCCCAAAAAAAAAGAGGAAAGGGAGGTTTTGTTGGTTAGCAGAGTTAAGCGCGTTAGCTGTTCAAGGATTTAATGGAAAATCGCGTTGGCGTTCGCCCGCCGAGGAAAAAGCAGAGAGCAGCCACTTGGGATGGAGTGGAAAAGTGGGAGAAAAGCGAGCAGGAAAAGCGGATAGCAATAGGAAATGGCAACGGGGTAAATCACGTATTTAATTCCAAAACATTTAACAGTTTATTTTTTGGCTGGCTCTTATCTAATATTTTACAAACCATTTATATGATGATTAGCGTAAAGTGTTTTTGGTAGAGGGAATCATGTCGAGCAAATTAGGAAAACGAATTTTGGTAAGTAAATTACAAAAACCTTTAGAAATAAATTCAAAAAAATACATACGGATTATTTTTTCCGACATAATTATAAAATGTAATTTCCTAAATAGCATTGAAAAGTGTTGTAATAAAATGTAGCTAATAATAACAATCTTTAAAATGTTCAGAAATATTATTAAAATAAATGATCCTATAGGATATATGATTGTCATTTTACTGGTGTTGTGAAAATTATTTAAATATAGTAAATGCATAACTTTCTTTTCTTTCGCCAGTTGAGGAGCATTAAAAATAATTGCAGACCTTTTTTCGCCGGCAGAAAACGGATGTCACGCCCCGGACCATGGAAATTAAGTGAAAAATTACAAGGCAACAAATAATTATACACTTTGCCCCTGCACTTGAGGCTGCCACACACTGCGGATGGCTGGGTGTTAAATGTAGGTGGAAGGTGGGTGGTGTGAGGTGGCTTGCCTAGCAGTGGGTGGGGAGGTCACACAATGGCATTTGTGCTTGCATAATTATGAAATTACTCTGCCACAGTGGAGTGGCGAAATTCTTGTGTGTGCACTTCCTCAGCTCCTCAGTTCCCATTTCCTCTTCTTCAGAGCTTTCCCTTTGCCCTTCGTCTATTTTCTTTGTTTAAAATCACGAACAGCGTGAAGATAAGTCAATTCATAATGTGTATACAATGAATCATCTACTATTTTTTGTTGAATGCTTATGGTATCTGGCAATATTAAAATAATTGTATTTATTATAAATTTCTTCTAATTAAATTAAATATAAAAAATCTGGATACAAATTTTATTAAAAATTTTCTGTAATCTAGCCAGATGTGTGGGCAATCTTTACGTACGTTTCACCTTCTTCTAAGAATTCTCTCCAACTTTTCCTTTTCTCAGTTAATGCTCACTTTTAATTCCCCACTCCGCCTGGCACCGCTCATTAGTCTTACAAACTATGCACATGCGAACCTTCGCCATTGTCCTGCCACTTCGCCGTCTTCATCCTCCTGAAAACTCCCCCTGTGCTCCAACTCCCATCGAGGTCTCCATGAATGGCCGGCAAATCCTGTTGCCAGGACCCAGACGGGGACGCCTACGACGGCATTCAAGGACCGCTGCGCTATGGAAAATCCCTTTTTATGAATGAGTCGCGGTGCCATTTGCATATTAACGGCTTGTAGCCCTAATATGTGCACACTCCTGACCCTTGGCCCCCGACCTGCCACGCCCCCTCTCCGTGCCTCTGTATTTGCATAATAATTTTATGGTTGGCTGCAGTGGAATAGGAATAGGAAAGGCCAAACACCAGAGTAAAAGCTATTGTAGCCGGCCAAGTAGCAGGCCATTAATGGAAGTAAAAGCGACCAAACAGGCACCGCGAAATATATAGTACATATATCTAGCATTTTCGGTCTCTCTTGCTTTTCTGCAATTCCAAAGATGTGGCATCTTTACAGAAAGTCCGAAATATTTTTACTTTTCTTGGAACGCATCAGAACTTAATATTCTTATAATTGCTTTTTATACCCTTGTAGCTCGGAGCTCGGAGCGAGCCGGATCGGACCACTATATCTTAAGGCTCCCATAGGAATATTGAAACATATATAAGAAAATTCTTGTTAATTTGTAGGAAGTAGGCGTTTTAATTCTTGACTACTAAAAAACAAAATTCAAAAATAGGAACACTTAATCTGGAATCCCTGGAACTGCACCGAGTGAGTATTACTTTATCTGCAAGGGTATATAAGCTTCGGCTGGCCGAAGGTAGCTTCCTTTCTTGTTATTAAATCATTAGCTTAAACGGCGATTATTAAAATTTTTTTATAAAAATCGCCATACAAAATTGTCTAAAGTCATATTACTCAAAAGCTCAATTTGAGATTATTTTTGTAGTCGATCTGTGGCAATTTTTATTAAAAGCTTCGGTTTTCTAATTTATTATAACTCAATCAAGTATCACTGAGCGAAGTAACCTGTGTGCATCGATCATCCACAACTAATGACGTATTTAATCATTATTATTATTTAGAATCCAGTTTTGAATGGAGACATTCGTAATATTGTGAACGAAAGTTTAAGTTTCGTACGTAATTGGCCGTCCTTCTTTGAAATTCTTGCCTCGAAAAACTCGACTATCAGCTACAGCTAAAAAAGTGCTAGAGAGAGATAGAAATATGCAAGCAGCCAACTCGCTCATAATTTTTAAATAAATTATCTGATTTTAGACTCTATATCTATACATTGTTAATTGCATACAATTCAATAACGGGCCAAACTGTAATCCGCTCTTGGCTGAAAATCTGACGCAAAGTTTAGACTTTTACCAAAAAAGAAACTTCCCTAATAAAATTCCCAAAAAAACAGGGAATACTATGTTATGTTAACGGAAAATCCGACAATGCTAACGAGTTCCCTATTTATTTTTATTTATTTGTATAATTGTGGAATTAACAAAATAACAGTCATTTTATGATTGAATAAGTATAATTTTTAAATTTGAATTCAATCACTAACTTAGTCTTTATAATAGCTTAAATATATATACTTCTTTTTTAATGTATAATTTATTTATATATATATTTATGTATTTATTGGTGACTACTTATCTAAGCCTTTGCGTATTTAATTTTGAATGTTATTTAGTATCCAAGTTCTGAAAGGTGCCAAGCGCAATAATATTGATAGCTCTGTTTCCGATTCAGAATTACCAAGGCTAGTGATTAAAATTCCAACTAGGTAGAAGTTCTGGGGATTTCCGTCTACGACATCGATCCCCATTAGCGGAGATCCGGGGAAAAGTTCATATTGCGTGTCTTTTACGGCACACAGATTGTTTTCGGTCAGGCCAATTGGGATCAATATTTTAAGGAGGCAGTAACGCAAACTAGTCGTGGTCACCTTAATCTTCTGCCGAAAATAGTCATCTTCCTTCCAGTTGAACCTGAAGCCCGATCTTCTGAATCCCGCCATATGCAAAATCTGTGCGATATGGTTTTCCTTATCACCCTCTGCGGGTGGCAAGCAGATGGGGTGCACAAACTCAGAGAGCTCCACATCTCGATCCAATTTAGCCAGTGCAAGGTTATATTTGAGTTCATGAGACTTTAGGTAACCCGGATGCACCACCAGTTCCTCGATGTCCAACGTTTGGGAAGGTGGGGCGCACTGCCTAAAGCCCTCCTCCAGGCGACAAACGCCCGACTTGGAGGATTTTTTGGCCTGCCACTCCCCGAACACAATGATGAGGGGATTGCTGAATTCCGGGTCTGTTACACATTGGGCGGGAAGGATCGCATATCGCGAGTTGATCAGCACCGAGAGGCATTTGAACTGGACATTTCTGGGACCTTCATCGCCATATCCAACCAATCCAATCCAGGCGTACTCATCCGGTTCGGTGATCTTCTTCTGATTATAGAGTTGGCTTTCACGCAGTTTTCCACACTCATTTTGTCCGTGAATTGCTAAACAATTTACAATTTTACAGGTTAGTATGAAGTTAATAAAATTGGAATTGATATAGCAAATGCCATTGTGTCGCTTTTATAATTTATTCAAACACTCAAGCTCACTAAGTAATCATATTAAGTAATTCTGTACTTATAAACAGTATATCGCCAAATTTAGAATACTATATTTTATTATATTTAAACTTTAAACTTACATGACAGAAAGTGTGACAAAATGTAGAAAATTAAATAACACAATTGTATTCCGAGAAACATTTTGTAGCTGGTTTTAATGGGAACTGATTCACGATCGGTCGATTGAACGGGTTTATGAGGGTAAAAAAGTAAAAAGCTTTGGCTCAGTGCGTTTTTTTGCATTTAAAAGCTGCATTCTGAGATTAAACTGAGATCTATGCCTAAAGTACGATAGAATTAAGACACTACAAAAACTTTTAAAACGCCTAGACAATTTAATGAAGTACAGCGGTATTTTAAAAGTTTACGCAGGCTTTTAATTTCTAATCTTCCCAACACATTTTGCGAATAAATAAAATTGAAACTCTATACTTTGATTGATTATTTTAAAATATACACACAAAATAAATCCGTATTTTTAGCTCCCGAATTTGTTATTTAAAATTTATTGCAATTTAATCTACTCGACCCCCTTGCCGGGGAAAATTCCCAATGGAACGAGCGGCGGAACATCATTAAATTTGACACTGCCCCGTTCCGCCCACAGGCTTTTCCTTCCATTTTATTTTCCCATGGACTGGGCATAATTGTGCTAAGAGGAATTGCTGCGAGGACAATGGATGGGGAGTGGTCTTCGCTGGGGGAAGCTGGGGGACACTGGCCACAAAAGTGTCGCATCAAGTGGCGGACATTTGCATAATTATTAGAAACAGTTAAATGTCCACAAATTGTACACTGGCCAGCACGCGGGGGAGTCATTACTTACATTACTTACTGGTAGAGGGAGAAATGCGGATGCGGATGCCCTCGCTATCTGGCAGCCAAATATCTTGGCTGTAATTTAGAGACTCGACTCCCAGGACGAGGCTCAGACCGGTCCTGTTGACGTGCGTGCCCTCGACTATTTAAAATTGTTTGCCTCCCACCAGGACAAGGACGAGGAATCGGCTGGAGGAGGGCGAGAAATAAAATAAAATGTAATTTTTATTAGGCTTGGTGGTTTTTATTGTCTGCTTTATCGTTCTTACAAGTCCTTGTCTGATATTTGTCTATGGCATGTCCTGGTCGGTCATGCCACAAGTCGCACACAAACACATACACACAGATAAATAGACTTGGCCACAGGACATGGCCTCACCGACCGCCTCCTTGGCCCTTTGAGATATCTTCGGTTTGGCTCCTTGTCTTCTATTTTTTTATGACTTTTTTATTGACTTGATTATTATGTTGTTTGTTGTTCTCGGCCAGCCAAAAGTTTTCTTAGGCCCCACCGGAGGAAATTAAAAAATAATTTAGAGCCTGGGTTCAAGGGTTGCGCGGCATAAATTGTGGAGCACAGCCTGTGCTTGATTGCCATCGACTGGTCTAATAAATAACCCAGGGGAGTGCGGGCTTCGGGAACGAGGCGGGAATGCTTTGATGCCCTGTAATTTCTATTTAATATCTGAAAATTTAAATATCTTAAACCTTCTTTAAATCAATTCACATATCAAGAGATCAGATGATTTGCAAAATAGTATTTCTTTATCTAAATTTGTTCAAGTTTTAGCATCATTTTGAATTTGGGATCTTAAATCTAAGTTTGTTTGGAATCGAATGTTTGAAATAATCCAGCGTCTAATCAGAGAACTAATAACCCACAACCTTATTGACATGTTTAAAGTTTTCAGAAAAACCAATATAAACAAATCGCGCTTATATTCACTCTAATACCCATTGACAGACTTTTTTTTGTTCTTTGTTAATGCCCCATCGGAAACTTAGGCATATTGTGTATGAAAGTATCTAGCCATATGCGATTGCTATTAGAGCTCCACTCATATTTCACAGGACCCAGACATGAATGCCAGCTAAATCCGGTGTGGTACAAAATATGCGATAAGTGTAATTCAAACCTGTGCGCACTCAATAAATTGCCAAATAAAAAATAAGCAAAAAATAAAGAAAAAGCGAAATTTGAAGTTACGCCAATTAATTGAAAAAAGTGTCCAGGACACCTTGACAACATGCGTTGACAATTTATGGGGCAGATGCCAACTGAAATGCTACACGAAAATTCCTTGGGTAACTTTCCGCAAGCAATTTCGGGGGAAAACTAATATCGAAATGGGTATCGAATGACCAAAGGAGGGTCCAAATTAGAAAAGTTCAACAAATGTACAAATTCTACTTTATATTCTAAGGGTCTTAGAGTTACTCTTGTTTAAAATCCCATTCGAGAAAGCCATTAAGCTGCTGGCGGTTTAAATTAAGTGCCACCAAAACGTCAAGGGCAACGAGGACCGACCCACAAAAAAATGCAATGAAAATCAAAACAAGATGAGCCCGAGCACAAAGACCAAAACGGGGGCTAAGAAAAGAAACCACAAAAGAAGAGCAAGTCTCATAATTAAAAATTAAGCCATTCGCCTATTAGTTTTAACCCTCATTAACTTTAGATAAACTAATCTCCAAAGTAAACCACTCGCATTCAGGGCCCAAGTTAAACTGACACGAGACCCTTGCCAAAGGGGGAATCCCCCGAACCCAACAAAAGACCCACTCCGCCTCCCACTTTTCCGCCCACCCCATCAGAGCCTCCGTTCTTTTTTTTATTCCGTGCGCGCCTACAATGCGTGAAAAGCTCATCAACTCGGGGCAACTGCTTTACAGAAAGGCAGCGAAATGATGTAGAAACTGAAGCAAGAAAAAACCCCGAACCTAATATGCAAAAAAAGAAGAAGGAACCCATCACATCGAGAGCAGCCAGAGAAAGGAAAGATAATTAAAAACGCAACCTTGATGGAAAATGAAATGTTTACAAAGACACAGCCTCAGTCTTCTCAGTCCTCTCAGCCCCCGAAAAAAGTGGGGCCCAGTGACAGGCGAAAGAAGGCGATGAAAGGCGCCAAGAAAGTCGAGGAAAACATTTGCACTGCCCAGCCAGCGGGACAAAACGAAAACATAAACGGATACGCGCTGCGGATGCAAAGTTTACTCGGGCAAAAAAAATACAAGAAAAGGCAACTGGGAGGCCTAGAAAAGTCAAAGGGACGCCAGCCAAGGCCAAAAGGAGACGGAGGAGCAGGCAAAGCCAGCCAGAAATTAACCGGAACATATTTTTGTTAACAATACCGCAAGAACATTCGTAATTTCAGCTTTAATATATGATAATTCAACTCAATCCGAATTATCACTATGGTAATAAGAGAATAACGTTTTTAACTGTCCAAATGGGATGGCCTTCAAAATAAACATGATCATGAACATGATCAAAATACCAAATTCTGGTTCTACCAGTCGTTCTTATTTTACCGATTCGGAACCTTAAAAATCTATAAATTGGTGAAAATAATTAAGAGAATTTTAATAAAGATTATCTATTTTTTGGTACGCATTTCCGAAAGTTTATTCACTTTGCTTATCGATAGACTTACACGTTTTTTTTTGTATTATATATAATCTTGTATATTCAATTAGAGCTACTTATAGTTTAAACACAATTGCTTTGCTCATTGTTGCATAGTAAATTCTAGAATAACAAAACCATGTAATAATAGTTACAAAGCGCCAAAATTGAGCAAATTACACGAAGCACTTGACTTTACACCTATGAAAAAGAGTATACAGATATGCTTATAAAGTAGGGAAACGAGAGCAAACCATTTACATTATATAAGAAGAAGCTGCCTTATTGGCCGAAATAATACCGCGAGTTTCAAATTTAAAGCATGTTAGGTCAACCAGGGTAATAAATAATAAAAAACTTTACACGGGTGAAAAATCTATACATCGCTACTTAAACTAAACCGAAGGACTTTGGGTAATTGTCAGTTGTCATAGATGTTTCTCTGCCATGGCTAATTCGTTGGTGGTCGATGGTTCTGCTTGCCACTTCCACTGGCTCCACTGTCCCGCTCCACTTTGTTTTCGCGCACCATCAGCAGAAGTTGCAGCATCATCAGGGCTTGCACCTTGTCCAGCGGATCCATAAATCCGCGCTGCAGCCACTTGGGTATTGTGGTGCGGGCGTGACTGAAGCCCAGTTTGTTGAGGATGTAATCAACGCCGTACGGCTCAATGGATTTTCCCGCCCAGGAGAGCAGGCGCACCGTGGGCTCCAAATGCCACGTCTGACACTCAAAGTGCCGCCAGTCGCGCACAAACGATTCGAGATCAAAGGTGGGCGGGGAGCCCTCCTGTTGCGGCTGCCTGCCTGCATCGGTGGCATCGTGCGAGGCGCTTGTCGATGGTCCAGGCGCAGCTGCCGCTCCAGGCGACAAGGTTGTGGATGCTGATGTGGCGGTCGTCGTCGTGTTCGTTGTCGCTGCTCCCGACATATTGACAGCGGCAGCAGCGTTCGCTAGGCTCGTGTGGCTGCCCTGCAGCGGATCCAGACTGCTCTTGCTGGCGCTCATCTGCTTGCCCTGGGCAGTCAGGTTCGTGTTGGAGGCGCCCTTCTTCTCCCTCAGTATCTCGTCGGTCAGGTATGGCTTTAGGTTGGCCTTCTGCGAAAGATTGGGCGAGGCTGCCCTCGCCGACTGAGCTCCAATCTAGTGGTGAATAATTATAAGTTAAAGTTTACAAATAAACGGGATTAAGACTTACCACCTTCTCTTTTTCGGTCACATAGGAGGTGATGAGATCGTGCAGGAAGAAGAACGCGTCCGCATCGACGGTCACAAAGATGTGGTCATCGAACTCGGTGATGAAGCTGCACAAAACTTCTGGTTTGTTTTCTGGAATCAAATTAAACACGCATGTGTAAGACACTTTCTTTTGTATGACCACTGTGATTAGTAGACCTCGGATTTTGCATATTTGCATATTTTTATAGGATAAAGATAGATCAATTCAGAAAACACCAAAGTTCGTTTCAATAAAAAATAGTTTAAAATTAATGGCATATTTAATTTTTTTGCATATTTGCATAAAATGCATATGCATAAGATATGAAAAATATGCCAAATATAAAATAGCCAACCTAATTTATCCGAAGAAAATTGTTTGTTCCTTTTCGTCATTTCTGAGATATCTTATTTGTTCCCAAGTTTAAGGAAACCCTATTTATATTTTCAACGAGTAGACGAGAAGGGGGAAAA